TCGTAAGAGGCTCACTTGTTTGAGACACCGTTACGTCCCCAGGACCTTCTTCACACATTCTTTGCTCAATGCGCCCTCGGTCTATGACATGAAAAACACCCAGCCTTGCTGGTTCAAAGGCCTTTTTTTGTCTCCTGAACGCGGTGCAACTCCGGACAGAACGTCCGCGGCTTCACGGGAAGCACATTACAAGCACGCGGCAAACGAGTGCCGCACACTGCGCCCGCCACGGGCGACGGGTTACCACAGTGAGGATTTGGAGGAGGTGGAGTACGAGTCGGATACTCCTTTCCCAGGATGGGAAGGAAAGAGAGGGCGAGGTGAGCCAGCGGTGCTACGTGAGCCTTGCTTCAACCTTGCGGACACCGTGTCCGTTTCCCGACCTTTCGACTTCCGGGGGAAGCGGTATCACTACCAATCGCCTCGAAGAGGCACAGAAGCAGCTGCTGGAGGCTGCCCACAGAGTGGCTCTCATACGCTCGCTACCACAGTTGGGCCTAGACCCTTGTGTGGAGTACGGCTTCCGCTCGGCGGATCGCGCTACTGAAGCGTAGGACGCGATCACTCGATCAATAGGCGCCTACGTACCAAAAAGCTCCCGAGCTCGGGAGCTTTTTGGTACCTCAAGAAATCCCAATGGGAAGGTACTGCGCTTGACTTCGCGCTTGAAAAGGAGGCGCTCCTTCACCCGCAAAGCGGACCATTCCTGTGGTGCTCGACCCTGGCGAAACCACTGCAGATGATGAAGAGCTCTTTGAGCGATGGTGCACCGGCACTGGAAACTCTCCTTGCTGTCTATCTTGCAGTGGAGCCACAACGAAGTAGACGTGTGCGTAGAGCACCATCTTCGATTCGAGTTTTCCAAACTCATTATGCAACGCCGACTTCCTACGTATTGTCCTTTTTGAAAGTATGGGACAATCCATCACGCTCCCGCGAGCTCTGTGGTTTCTCACACGGGTGATTTTATGACCACGGCAGCTCAGGGCCATAGCTTGAGCTCATCTCATGGCTCTTCTGCTTCCCCGGCTATTGCCAGGAGGGCCATGATCCCCTTGATCATAAGCATCTACAACGTCTGGGCAATCTTTCCGAAGTGGCACCTCAAACTCCCACGAATTCCTGAAGTCGATGTATCCCCGCTACTTCACAAGATACTGGGCTTGACCCTTTTGTCGACGTCGACCAACAAGACGTTCCACGTGTTAGTGGACACCGCTGTTCTCGTCGAGAAGAGTCGGCAGCGGATGATGACGACCGTTCGGAGACTCGCGATGCTCTTCGATCTCTTGAGGACAAAGTCCGTCTTCCTCGACACTCCGCTAAGCATCTTGCGAGGTCGCATACCGCTGTGCGGAAGTCCTCGAGAGCTTGGAGTACTCTGTGCACCGACTGCTTCACGTTGAGGATTATCGTGCTCTGTCGGAGCGGCTCCTAGCCGATCAGCAGACTTCGTGCGACCTGGCACCGTTGAAAATGGATTTCGTTTTTCTCCGTGCTCAAAACCAGTTGTTGGCTCAGCTTTGGGTGGTCGGCGCCATTGGGCGCCGCCCCGGCGCCAACGCTTCCACGCTCACTTGTGCCGGATTCCGGCATTGTTTTAGCAAGCCCACATAAAACAATGGGTGGGTGTGCAGCCTTTCCGGAAGGTTTAGCGTATACGCAAGGCCTCGCGTGTCCACGACCTTAAAAGATTCGATAAACCGTCGACGGAGCTTCGTCATGAAGACAACAAAACCTGCATGGGTAGGAAGTTGTTTTAGCCTTTAATAAATCTGACGTGAAAGTTTTTTCTGCTCCCTCTGTCTGCATATTCTTTCTGCATGTCTTAGCTTTCAGCCATCGCATCGCAAACTTGTCGTAAGACACTAAGTCCGGTAGATAGAAGTCATCAATTTCCTTACAAAGTGAGGGCTGACATCAGCTAGCCGCTCGGCTATTCCTTCTTCACCAATCCCTGAGCCATGGGTTGGCGACGCCAGCGGAACTCGAGGATAAACGAGCCGTCCAAATAGAACGGCGTGTAGCCGGTGGACGTATGCACTGCATTGTCCAGAGAAAACTCCACAAGTGGCAGCATGGCGCTCCAGAACCTCAGCGTCTAAGCGCAGACGCTGCGAAGAATGTCTTCAACGACGCGTTTCATGCATCCAGTCTAACCATCGGTCATCGGATGGTCCGCTATTGACATAGTCAACTTGGTGCCCAGCACCCTGAAAATTGCCAGCCAAAACTTCCTAGTGAATCGTGTGTCTCTGTCAGAGAAAATTGGCTCGAGCAGTCCATGTTGTTGAAAGACACAATCCACAAACAGCGTCGCTGTACCGACACCATCGATTGTTTCCGCCTTCGTCGCAAGATGAGCTATCATACTACGCATCAGCCAAAATATTCTGCTTTCCTGGCTTATACCTTTCCTCGAAGTTTTATTCTGTGAAGAAGGAGAGCCACCAGGTCACTCTCTACAAGGGGTGGGGCGACTGAGTCTCTGTGCGTAATGACGCATGATCTCATGAACTGGGTAATTCTTCTTCGCAGCCTTAAGCTGGTAAGATTCGAGTGCGATCCCCTGATCTCACCCCTCGGAGGTCGTGTAGTAAGTCATCGTAAGCGACTTCCTTGAGAAACACCAGCTCTTCCATCGTCGACAACGGTGCCAAATGACCATCCTTTCTGGTAACATCACAACCAGTCGTTGCATGCACAATACGTGGACCAGCATATTTGCATACAAAAATTCCATCATAGGGAGTAGTACGCTGATTTGACTCACCCGCGGACCCAAATGCATCCAGACCGGGAGTATCAGTGCCGTAATCAACAAATTTCGTTGATACCTTCGCATGTGTATCACCAACCACAAAACGGGTTGGAGCATCACCTTTTTGTGGTCGCTGAGCCACAGACCGACTCAACCACTGTATTAGTGGGAGTAGTGGCATATCCAGCCACAGTCGATTCCTTCGACTTTTCATTACGCAAATGCCGACAGCATTCTTCTGTAATGAGGGGGTAGCAACCAGCATATCTCCCTCATAAATTCCGTTGGGCAAATCTCCACATTCACCAATGATTTATTCGTTTTCAAGTCCTGCGTGACCACCCGTGGACACTCCATACAACTTCGTGTCTTCCCTAGCCTGGGGAATGTCAATTGTATGACATAAACCAATGAAGTGTGGATCATTTTCAGCAGCATACGACTGCAGAGCGCTTGAGCGCTTCTTCTGGCGCATAGTGAATATGAGCTTATTACTCACAAGAGTTTTACCTACGCCAGAGGAGCAACTCCTTATCGTTTTCGATCGCCATTCGATCCATGGTTCATGCTTCTCAAGCCACGGTATACCTAAAATCAGGTTATACCGTGTGTCCATCTCGAGGACTGTGAATACTTCCTTTGAGTTGAACTCTTCAAGCTTCAGTTGATGATCAACCATAATTTTTTTGGTCTAGTAGCCAACTTCACTGTGACAAAGCCATTGCTTCTATCCAGTGCAACTGACAGCACTGATTCATTCTTAGTAACACGTTGCTTCCGCGTGTATTACGCGACACGCCGGAGTCAATCAAGACTCTAAACGGATGACCGTTACCCTCCACACTTGCGCTTTTCAAAGTTCAAGCTCGTACCATCACAACCAGCATGTACCGAATACTTCACCATGATGCTTCTGAGCGTTGCTCAAAGTCCTTAGAACGAAAGGTAATGTATAAATAAAAATAACTGGGAGCGTACCCTCCGCCGCAAAAATTTGAATCCGACATATTCACAAATCTGAAGTCTTGTGGCAAGACCCAAAACCACGTTTCTTCGTAAGGTCTACCAGAACCAATCCACTGAGTGTTCCTCCATCAACTTTTTGTATGCGTAGAAATTAACGATTCGACAAGGATGTCGAGGCCTCTGTGACCGTCGAATTGAAAACCTCGCTCGTTGAGGAAAGAGGGGGGGGGGTCTGTAGAGGTTGGTCAGATTAACCCACTGAACTACGACCCAACACGTTTGCCAACTCCAGACTGAATCTACCGTTGACGACAGTACTCTAGGGTTTGAGTATTCGTAATACTGACACTTTACCCTGCGTCAACTGCTCACACTATGCCCTATATCAGAAGCGGGAAGCGTGAAGGCGCCAACTACGGAGCTGACAATGAGATTTGACTCATTATAATGAGCGGTCTACATACATTAGGGAGCTCAAATTGATAGTGTACAAGCACAACGACGTTTGATGAGAATGATTGAAATACGTGTTTTGCGATGTACCACCAGTACCCACAAATGTGCTCTCTGTACCGCCGCTCAGTACTGGTATTTTTACATGTCGGAGTCTGCTAAATCGTTCAAGAATAAAATGTATACGCAAAATGTGCTCCTTAACAAAATCTTGATCGTCCAGATCACGACTCCTCAAAAGTACCGCTTACGCTGAGTTTCGCTAATCAGTTCCCTTCAAGGAGATGTACCTTTGGCACTACAGCCTATTAACACTGTCACAAAATATAGACTAATCGATGCTTGAATGAAAAAGACACGTCGTTATGCCCATTTTATAGTATCACAAATCCAATTTTAGCAAAACAGGCCTCAAACCAAATTGTTGAAGTACAAAACGCGACGTCGACGTCGAGTACTATTTCCCTTCACTTCTGATTTATGACCTGCTCACAACCATAAGCATGCGGGCACACCCATTCATCAAATGTTGAGCTTGGAACAGATCCGCACTCCACGCGCTAGCGGTCAGCTCGTTGCCCTGCACAAACCTTTCTTGTACTATGTGGAGGTAACGACAGAGGATTGCCAAGTCGTAAGCACCAATGGCACCGGGGCCGTATTGCTAAAGTGGGTTCGAATCTTCACAATTATTGAAGTGAAGGTAACTCTTGCACCAAACTAGATACGATATTGGTGACACCCTGACTGAAACATCGGCCTTTTATCCGCTCTCCTGGAAATGGACATCACATTGATCATCGAGTAGAACAAGAAGTGAATGAACCTGCCAGACTGGATCTCTGAGGGTTTTTCGGTGCTGGCGGCACGACGACTCATTGCGAGAGCTCGGCGTAGGTTTGATAAGAAATGAACCATTTATCAGACACTTTTGAGGATACGTTTTGGCAAATCCGCCGATCTACATCCGTTTTGTGGCAAATGGGCTTTACCTTGTTCATCTAGCGGAGCCAGTGCGAGACGACTCTTTAGCGGTTGGCTCCGATAATTTTCGAAATGCGTCAATCATCTCGGTTTATCACTCCACATCCGTTGTGGACCTCAGACACTATCTGACGCGCTCTTGGGTGTGCATAATGTGATCGATTGGCTTGAGTTGTCCCAAGCGGCTCAAATTCGGGATGCTACCGTAGAGGAGATGGCTAGGGTACTTGACACTCAGCTTAATCTTCAGCGATTGCGTCGTGATTGGACGGCTCATGAAAGCAGGATTGCCATACTGCTTCATGTATCCAACATAAATGAGGGGGTCTTATTTCTGAAGGAGACAAGAAGTATACCTCAATCATGTTAAGCGAAAGAGCGCAAATGAAGCGATATAGTGAGGACATAAGCTCGTCTCAAATTTAGCAGATATTGCATGTGTGGGTAGATTGTATCCGCTCTGAAAATCATCACTTCAACGTCAACTTGGTTGACCTTTGGTATCTGCATGATTTTTTTAAAATCTTGGTAACTTCTTGCCCTTGGCGCAGAGATGAAAGGGTCGGAACTGCCACAAAGTGTGGCCAGACTAGTATCTATCAGTCAATCATTACTGCTATCCCACCGAATCAATTTTATGAGAGTGTCAGGAAGGCGCAAAACGTCTGCAGAGGAATCGAATGTATTGTTCAAAACAAACAAAATATGCAAAAGTATGTCAGAGTGGTTTAATATCCATCATTACACGAATGACGTACTCTGTTTGATCATCGGTCTGTGATTGGTCTACTGTGGACAATTCCAATTTGGTCTCAAGCACCTTGAAAAAATACACCATATTCTAGCTGTACAGCGCGATCTCGATCCCACAGACAAGCCACGGTTTAGTCCTTAAAAAGCTTAGCATTTCTTCATCGGTGGCTTTGACGAGAAGATTCGGCTATTTGACTAAAAATAGGGCTAGCAGCCCTCGATTTTTTTTGTCCCCCTTGCCAAATTCTTGTGCGTTTCTACTTCCTCTGATATCTATATGTTCCTCTTGCCCATTTCGTTTTTCAGCTATAGAGTTTTGCAGACGCTCGATCCCCTGCCAAATGCAATCGTCAAATGCTTCCAAGTGTAACTCAGCTGAATGGACCAGACATATCTGTATTGAAAGCCTTCCCCACCACATCGACTCATCGCAAATATGTTAAGGAGACAGGAGGCGAACTAGACAATATACAAAAGTGGTGCTAAGCCTGTAGAGAGACGTGTGCTGCGCTATTTGATCTAATCTGAATATATAGGAACATATTGCTCCGGATTCGAGGTCGCTCGGCGCAAGTGCCTTGGACAAATGCATCCACCACGCTATTAACGCGTTACGCCTGACCATTGCTCTGTGTGTAGTCCGTTGCCACCAATCTCTTCACACAAACTTTGCCAAATTTTTGCAGTAGAGCACTTGCTACAAGTAAATAACGTTGGCTAATGACTCTGTCGAGAAATAGCTTGGATGTATCTTCACAGGTGTGACAGCAGCGTCATAAGCCATCTGTATACAAAGACCACAATGTTGGTACTAACGTCAATTTAAAAGCTTCGCGAACATCTATATCGCGGATTCCTCATGTATTTTATAAATTAAAAAAAATCCATTCCAAATTGTGATTGACATTTAATTATGATTCTAGGGTAATCTCAACGTTTTTTTACCGTCTGCTTAATTTTAATATTTCGAGGAATTTATGGTTGAAGGCGCAGTTCCTGAAGCTTTATGATCAAGGCGTCAACGTTTGCCAAGCTCTTCGCTTTCCCCTGAATGACGCCGTTTTTGCCTCCGCCACCCCTTCCGTCGATAATTGGCAGTACAGCTTTTCCGTGGACAGCGATAAATTCAAGAGGCCCGGCAATCAGGAAGAAGCCTTCACCGTGCAGTTCACCTGCCGTTAGTACAAATATGGTATTGCTGATTGCTCCTCCAAGAACGCCTAGCAATGTCTGTAGAAATCCTAGATCGCCATTGCAACGGTGGTAATTAACGACAATGTTACCGGGACGTGCGACCAGATCTCTGGCTATAGAGACAGCGAGCTCCTTCTCCAGATGTTTGATTTCTTTCGTTGCCCACTTTTGAAACTGCAGCAGCTTATTTACCCTAGCAGTATGATTTTCGGGTCCTGTGCTCAGCAATTTCGTCATTGTTTGCTCCTTTTTCAGCCTACATTCGTTACGCACGCAGCACGACTATTAGTCAGAATCAAGATGTCACAGCACGCTCACAGCTTAATTCACATTCGTGAAAAGTCGCGATTCACGCGGTCACCAGCAACAAACCAAATGCGGAATGTTCCTCGTGCAAATTCGGTATTAACAATGCGCAGTGATCGAAGCTGCGCAAGGTTTTTGACATGCGTACCGCAGCATGGGTTCGCATCTAGTCCGTCGATGGTCACGATTCGCATAATCTTGGGCATATCTTCTGGTGCGAACTTTGAAGCAATTTTATTCCACTCTTCTGTCCCCGGCTCCGCGAACGACGGATACATCGCCAATCCTGCTAAGATAGCTTCATTGACTTCGTCTTCGATTGTCTGCAAATGGCCAAACGAAATTATTTTATTCTCCTTTCCGCCTTTTTTTTCACTTGGTGAATGTAGGACCGAGGTAGCATTAGCCGATATGAGCTCCACATTGCAGCGCTCCTCTCCCAAGGACCACGAGGTGGTCTGATACCCATACTTTTCGGCAATCGCACTTAAGAGGTGCTGCGCCGAGTGCTGCTGCATGTGATCCAAGCGACGAGACCAATTCACGGTAACAACCACCTCTTGTCCCTCCATAAACGGCGCTTGGGCACTGTCCTTAACAGGGACACGGTGTAAACAACGTCCGTCCTTCACGTATACCTTTTCTACAAACATATCGTCAATTTTGCCAGTATCACATGGCTGGCCTCCACCTTCAGGGAACAGTACTTATGATTGCGCCGCAACGTGAATGCACAAATTAGAGAACATTCGTTATCTGGAGCAATACTAGATTACGCACCGGTGTCGTACAACTCGAGTTCAAAATAGCGTCGGGCATTCTCGATCTTCGTAGCCGGTTCAACACATTCTCGAGACGCGTAAACAATTGTGCGCAGCAAACGAAGCGATGAGTCTTTCTGGCAAGAGAGCGTGCCAGGTGGCGCGGGTGATGTATCCACCTGTGTCATCATTGAGCTCACGAATTTGTTTATGAAATAATTTATTTTTTTCAAGGAGGTTTATTATGCGCAGCTTATTCCATGATTCCTATTATTTTGCTAAAATTTTTTGCCTATAGTTAGGTCGAGAAGTAGCATAACGATTTTATAAGACTTTCATCCCGCGTCTTACGAATTGTCCGGCAAGTTGCTTGACTTGCATAAACCTCTCCAAGGACAGATTTGACAACGAGTTACAATGCGTGCCCTTCTCCCAAGCAAGATCATACTTCACAGACGTATGAGGGAATTTTGTGTACAAAGCTCCAGCTAACGTTTAAAGTGCCGAACTGTGGTCTTGGGAGAAGCCAAATCGATCCGTTTGGAATCAGTATCTTAGCTAAATTGATGCTCAAGAAGTTCTGCGTACACATAAAGAACACGGTATTTTGGAGTACTAAAAGTCTTGCTCCAATCATTTCGAGCGCAAAAGGTAGATAAAATTCGAGCTTGAGCCGCGCTTCCTTGAGTAAGTCCCGGGGAGAGCGAGAATCATTCTGAAATTGCAAGGATTTATTACTTTTCTCAGGTTAACAAGCTCACGTTTCATTTAAAGTTTCTCCTTTTTGTATCGGAGTTTTGTTATCCTTGTCGAATTTGAGATTCTTTGTGTGCATCTCGAATTCATGTTCATAATTCTTAAGCTGTCAGATTGTTTTGACCATTTCTATAGATCGCTCAGCAATTTCTGCTATCGACCAAGATGATTAATCTGCGACTTCTATATGAGCTCGGAGCTCAAGCACGTTTTTGTCATAAGGAACTGGTGATGATCCAGTTGTCGTTGCGTGTTGAGTCTGCCAGGATTGTGTACTGGAATTTCTTGCCATGATATTTCAGCTTAACTTCAGCCAGCTTGATCTTCAGCATACTTCTTTCATTTTGATGATCCGGCCGAAGACCAGCCAGCTTGTTCTCTAGATTCATTTCGACAACCTGACAATGCAGACGTTCGGCCAGATTGTTCTCCGGTATAATTTTGTAATTTTGATGTATCAGCTGAAGTTTAGCCGGCACATTCTTTCGTCATTCTGAAATTTCAGCTAAAGTACATTTACGATCATGTCCAAATACGACATCTTGTCATACATCCTGCCTTTGAGCCACTTAAAGAGGCCCGGCTTGCTAAATCTTTAGAACGGTATCAAGACTGAAGCTTTGATTGCACTATAGCCACACCCGTACAAAGCCGGTCCAACATGTCTCCAAAAAGCAAAATCGCCTCAATTTTGTAGCAATGCCTTATAGCATCACCTTTCATTCTGAACTTTTCGTGATCGAAGGAGCTTGCTGTTTACAATAGCAGCGTGTCGAGTTTGGAGGATCGTGACGTTGCACGAGCCTAATTTGCCACGATGGAAATAGGGCGTGAACACACTCTCTCTGTAGCTGTGCTGGGTAATGACACCAATTCATACTTCTTGTGTTTCATTCGAAATGAGAAAACTATGTAAGGAATTTTAAAGTTATGCTACTCCATCGTGCAATCTACAATGAAGATCTTGGTGGTGCGATGTACATCTAGACGTGGAAAGCGAAGGTAGGACCACGCTTTAGCACTGAATTAATAATCTCTGCTCTATGGTGGGGGTCACGTATTGGGTGCTAACGCTGCAACTGGCAACTGAGGCTGGCAAAATTGTCTGTGGAAGGGACGAAATCTTGGGATATTTGGATTCAGACGAAGCAGACGTGCATTTACCCTTCAAATTTAATTTTTACGTAGCCGTGCTGAGAATTCTTCGCTGCATTCTGCGGTGAGACGCGTGCCAATCAGCTTCGTGCGTATGACATGGCACTATTCAGGAGTGGTTTTAGCTTATCAGGCCAAGGACGTGTTAGACGAAGCTCTGAAGTCTATGGAGTTACAATAGTTTCATTGATATATGAGGGCAACTACGCTAATGCTATGGGCCACTACTTGACAGAGTGGAAATATTAGGTGCTGGTTGTGTGCCGGCTCTAACGACCCAATGCGTGCCATTGCGCCTTTCCAACAGCTTTATTACAGCTGATTATTCGCGAGTGGGGAATGCACTTAGGATTAGGAATCACCGCATCCGACTGTCGCAATTTGTCCGAGGCAGAGGGAACTCATTATTTGTGATAAATCTTGTCCTACTTTTGATTGGACGTTCTCTGATGCATGTCACTTCAACAATATGGGTGACATTTCAATTATATGTTAAAAGGTGAGGATCATACTAACAACAGACATGGCCGGAGGAAAACACCAAGCATTCACGTTCGCAACCATAATTGGCTTCGCTGGAGGTGCTGGGTACTTGCTAGAGCGCCATACTCCATCGCTTGTTGGTGGCATGGCTTTGAGCGTTGGATTTCTGGCTGCTGGGTTGCTGGTGATTACAGAAACTATCACGGACCACCACTTCAACCACTTTACTTCCCTCACCATGTCAGGCATCATCGCGGGCGTTATGGCACGGCGCGCAATGACAACGCGCATGCGCACGCCGACACTGATTGCCACTGCAGGCGCAATGTCTGCAGGCTATCACATGCAACAGCTGAGCAACCCACCACGCAAGAAGCGCTACGTTCCTGGCGCTCCGCCTGTGCCGAGCAGCTATGATTAAAGCAGCAGATATTCTATTTACTGAATTGATAATGATATCAAAGCTGCTGTCGCTTACGCCTTACCTTTTTTATTGAGGTAGTGGTAGATAAATGATGATCAATTTGACGCTTAATAGCAAATAAGAGATAATATACTTGCTATCTCTGCTCGTCGGCCCACAGCAAAGATAAGAATGTTTCAGACCGCCACTTGATTCATGCATAAGCAGATCATACGACAATCGCAGATCTTTGTCTTAACGTTGAATTAAGAGTTGCATTGTGTCTCATTAAGACAGGCACCTATACGCCAAGCAATTTCAGTGCGAATCTAAGAGATGATACGGTCATTATGGTCTAGTTGTAAACTTTGAAGACTGCAGCAGATCGCAGTCGTTTTTGTTCATCTAAGCGAACAAGTATGACGTGACGCGAAGCTTGTTGTAGTTCGTCAACGAATTGCAAAATATCTAGCTCGTGGAGATGTAGGAGACATTAAATTCGGGAGCCATACACAGAGCTCAGTATATCATGTCCCGACCATTGTTGGACAGCGCTCGCTGTGTAAGGGTTTCATTTAACATCGTACTTTTGCACGCCAGCAAAAGCAGCGCTCCAGCACAGACGCGGAACCTGGCTCTCTTTGATCATAATGTTCTAGATGTAGCACGTAGAAGGTGGCGAATATGGTCAAATGGAGAGACTCCTGCGATGAACATCTGCACTTACCGACTAAAAGACACCGTTTCAGCGGAGCATCAATTTTGTCGAACTTTTGAAGTCTGACAGGGTGACATAATTGTATTAGGCTTGTGTCCCTTGATTCATCTCCGTCGAAAATTTGGACCACGCTACTTGCCTATTGTCAAGACTGTATCACGTCACAGATTGTGTATAACACACAAAGGCAACTTGTGCATGTACGTGTTGCAGTATTGAATGTTCACGAACAAATGATCAATTTTGTCAGGGTTCTAGATGCCAGAAGTTCGAAG